AAAAAAGTTCACGTTGGGCTGAGAAGGAATCAGACCCCAGTAGTGGAGGACGGCCCTAAGGAATGGATGTAGAGGAAAACGGACCCCACCCTCTGTAATGGATAGGAGAGGAAAGACGATTGAATTTTGATCATCTCTCTCCATATCTAGAGTGTTGTCCGTCACTAGAGATAGATGAACATCGTCGGGGATGGAAAAATGTCGCCGGAATCCGGAGACACGACCCTCAGAAAGGAGGTCTTTCAAGTGTTTGGCCATTTTCACAGGGAATAAAGGGTTCACCAAAATGAAAATAATAAACAAAAAGTAAGAGTCTTGAATACTCGACGAACTGTGTATTCGAAAGGACTGAAATTTCAAATCACAATAAATGCGAGACGCACGATTGAGGCAGGAAAGCGTAATAATGAACGAAAAGGTGTGCGTATCCTGACATTTATATTGGGGTACACGAAGCCGCCTGACCTATTTTAACCTTTCCAATTCAAGACCAAACACGCCGATTAACTTCCGTCAATGGGGAGTTTGGGGGGCAATTGTGGGGGCCGAATATATGGGAAAAATCAGATGGTACGTACCACTGGAAGACTGATATTAATCGGCTATATCCTACGAGAGTGGGGAGCCGAATATAATATATGTGCCAAATAAGTGTAAGTCCTTAGTGCCGAATAAATGAAAGGATAATGATTAAAAAGTAGGCCCTGGCCCCGAGAATAAAAAAAGAACAGGTATAAATACAAGAACAACGGTTATAGGAAGGTATGTAAGAATCACTTCACAAAAACTTAGTAAAGAAGCTACCCTGAGTATCCGAACTAACTTATTCGTCGGAGTGCTAATTCCGGCACCCCCGACCGGAGTGTTTGTATCCTTTCAGGTGACTAGCTGAGGATCACTAGCGTCTCCCAGGATCTGAAATGTATTTCCGAACTACTTCTCCACATAAATTGTCAAAATTGTTTATTGAAAAATATTTATCATATCATTAAAAACTATTAATTGACTTAATGATTTATTTATTAAGAAAATGGTTAATTGAAAAATATTTTTCATAGCATTAAAAACTTTTAATTTACTTAATGATTTACTTATTAATAAAATTCGTCATTTGTTATGCAAGTATAATTAATGTATAAATAAAATTATTTATTTGTATATATATATGTATTTTCTTTTGTTTCTTTATTAGTTTAGTGAATTATCTTAATAGTTTTTTTAAATGAGAGAATTATTTTAGTATTTGTTTTATATTTATCTGTTGAGAAAAACTACACACCATAATTTCTTTTTCAAAAATTTAAAAGAAATGTTAAAGACTCATAAATTTACCAAAAATGATATGGTAATAGAGTTGGAGTCTACATCATTGGGTGTATAACAAAGTAAAAAAAAATAAAATACACATCATACCACGTAATTATATTATATTTCTAATGATTTATTCTATTAAATTTCATAGAATAATATTTTAATTTTAAAAACATTATCAAAATACAAAACTTAAGTATACTGTAATAATAGCGCGTGTCTTGCACGGGCTTTCTTAAACTAGTCTATATATATAAGAATTGCTTAACTGCTTGAGATTTGTCTTTTCTTTCCGATTTTGTTCTTTCATTTTAAATAATTTACTAATGATAGCCTATATGTTGAGGGAAGGTTTTTTTTCGTAATTACGCAAACATTCTTGGTCAATTATGCAACATGTTTTTTCTTAATTACGCAACCATTCTTGGTCAATTATGAAACATAATTTTTTTAGTTTTTAACAAATTACAAATACACTCATAAGATTTGTTTAAAATATGAATTAGTTGCTTAACTGTTTGAGGTTTATCTTTTCTTTCCAAATTTGCCCTTTTATTTTGAATAATTTATTAATAGTGGCCTATATGTTGAGTGAAAGTTTTTTTTCGTAATTACGCAAACATTCTTGCTCAATTATGAAACATAAATATTTTATTTTTTAACATATTACAAACACACCCATAAGATTTGTTTAAAATAAGAATTAGTCCTAAAATACTAGAAATTACAACTATCGTTTGTTATAAATTTTTATTTAACACAATAATATGGGGGAAAAACCTATTCTCCTATGCAATAATAAATTATCAAAATTGTTTATTGAAAATTATTTCTCATATTATTAAAAACTATTAATTGACTTAATGATTTGTTTATTATGAAAATGGTTAATTGAAAAATAATTTTCATATCATTAAAAATTGTTAATTTACTTAATGATTTACTTATTAATAAAATTGGTCATTCATTACGCGAGTATAATTTATGTATTAATAAAATTAGTTATTTGTATATATATATTTTTTCTTTTGTTTCTTTATTAGTTCAGTAAATTATTTTAGCCTCCGTTTAGGAAGTGGGTTGGCTTTTTGGCTTTTTGACTTTTTTGGCTATTTTAGCCTAGGCTAAAAAGTTTGGTTTGGGAAGGACTTTTTGGTTTTTTGGCATTTTTTGACTTTTTTTGTGAGAGAAGAATGTAATGATTATGGGTTGAATGTGATATTTTGTTTTTTGTGGCTAAAATAGCCTATTTTGTCTTTTGTGGCTAAAATAGCCAAAAAAGCCCCATTTAGCTCTTGCCAAACGGAGCCTTAGTAGGTTTTTTTTTGTAGATGCGAGAATTATCTTAGTATTTATTTTATATTTATCTATTGAGAATACATACCATAATTTATTTATTTTTATAAATTCAGAAGAAATGTTAAAAGACTCATAAATCCACCCAAAATGATATGATACTAAAACTGGAGTGTACATCATTGGTTGTATAACAAATCAAAAAATAATACATACCATACCACATAATTCTATTATATATCTAATGATTTATTCTATTCAATTTCATAATACAATATTTTAATTTTTAAAAATTATCAAAATATAAAACTTAAATATACTGTATGAATAGCCCCGGCTGCATGAGCCTTTTCAAACTAGTATATGTATATATATATATATATATATATATATAAATTGGAGGCGTGAGTGGGTGCACAGTTAAATACCGTGCACACTTTAATATAATAATATATATAATATTTAAAATGCATTATTTACATTAATTTATACTAGCATATCACCCATGCTATGTACGGATTGTGTTTACAATTATCTATGTATGTGAATTACGATTTTTAAATGTCTTTTTTTTTAAATGCCTTTTTTTTTCCTTTTTTATATTATATTAAAGTTTAATATTTTGATAATAATCATATGTGTTAGACTTTTCAAATAATTAAATGTCTTTTTAGTTATTTATTATATTATATTAAAATTTAATATTTTGATAATGATCATATATATTGGACTTTTCAAGAAATTTTTTTTTATGCTTGTTCTTAATGCATTAAATTGTTATTATGAGGGATAATAATTATATGTGTTGAGACTTTTCAAGGAATTCATATGTGTTGGATTTCAAAGAATTTTTTTTATACTTGTTCTTAATGCATTAAAGTGTTATTATGAGGGTAAGACTTGGGGGTTGGGAAAAATTAATAAATGCTAAGATTTTTTTTTTTTAAAATCAAAAAATCAAGAAATTTAGATTGGGAGATTAGAACTCCTACAAGGCTTGAGGTTAAAATCCCCATTTTACTTAATATCTATCTATCTATCTATCTATCTATCTATACTATTATAAAGTGAACAGAAATTTTGGTGTTCTGAAGCTTTACTCTCCGCTTTACTCTCCTCATGCCATGTGGCAGTATTTTTTATTTTTTAAAAAAAAGTTAAACAAAGAGATGGGCAAGGCTTGAACCCATGACCATGGGTTTAAGTACGAGGACTCATACCACTTAAGCTAAGTACACATTATAATATTAATTTCATTATTATTTTTTTTTATTCCTACTTATTTGAATTGCACACACATCGTGTGTGCCACCCACTAGTATAGTATAGAAGTATAGATACAAACATTCAAAACCTATAAAAACACATAAAAATATGTAAAATTATGAAATAGTAAAAATAAGTGAACTAATAAAATGTTTTCAGTAGGCAAAATATGTAACATTTAGATTTTAATCACACATCATGAAACTTTTAAATTGTCAATGTGAACATTAATACGCTTCATCATATTATTATTTTGAGTATTTTAATAATTATGTCACCTATAGAACTGATTAGAAGGAAAAAAAAATTGAATTAAGTAGAAGATAAATAGGTGATTTGTAATATTATTCATATTTTATTGATTTAGGAGGTGTTTGGCATGTGCTGAAATAGCAAATATGATTTTAGCACATTATCCTATTTGGGTCAGAATTATTTTATTTGAATCACATTACTTCTCCATCACATTATGCAAATTCAATTCATATTTCGTGCTTATTTAGATCATCTAAAATACCCCTTAAAATAGAGAAATTTATAAGTTTTGTATATCTAAAGAACAAATGTCCAGATGTAAACCGTTAGATCATCTTAGGGTGTATCTCTACCGTTGTAAGTAAGAAGGCAAGGAAAAAGACCAAGAAGAGGATTTGAACTCAAAACAAAATATTGTAAAATTTTACACAGTTGACGTAGCGAAATTTATTTTTCATGACAACTCAATATTTTAGCCTAAAAATTAAAAAGTCATTAAAAAAAATTAAAAAATCAATAACTTATATTAAAAGTCAAAATTTTCTTTTTCTTTCTATATTTTACATATTTTTTTTGTAAAAAATTAAAAAATCATTCCAAATATATTAATTTTTTTAATTTTATATTTTAATCGCCTTAATTAAGGGATGCTTTATAAAAATAATTAAAAATTATTTTTTTAATTTTTTTTATAAGAGAAGAAAAATAAATTAAAAGTTATGAAAAATAACTTTTAACTCACTTAATTTTTTTTTGTAAGGAAAAAAAAGTAAAGTAAAAATTATGGAAAGTTACTTTTAACTCACTTTGCAAATAGATGACTTCCCAAATAGGCGTAAAGCGGTTACTAGTGGCTGCGGGTCGAGATCAATCCAACGGTCCAAAAGACGCCCTTGATTTGGTGCACGTTTTTCGAGGAAGCTGAACTCATCTTCTTCCCTTTCCCCTCTTTCTTTCTCTCTTCTGGAATATTCATCAACCTCTCTGTCTCTCTCTCCATCGCATGCAAGCAAATCCCTTAAAACCGCCATGGAAGATGCTGCTGTTCGAGTGAAGCAAGAAGCCATCGAACAACACCACTCAAAGCGACCTCCGAACGCGAATCGAAACCAAGAACCGTCGCACCCGATTTGCTTGATCGATCTCAGTAGCACCGACTCTGATTCTGATCACTCTTCGTCTTCTTCCTCTGATGGTAATGATGATAGTGTTGTTGGAGTCAACGGGAAGAGAACTAGGAAGGGTTCGAGTGGTGCTGAGAGAGGTATTTCGAAGAAGAAGAAGAAGAAGGAGGTGAGTGTGGCTTTGCCGGTTGGGTTTCTCGATCCTCTGCCGCCGAAGAATGCGTCGTTGCCGCCGCAAACGGCGGCTCTGAGGCCTCAACCGGCATTGGTCCTCAATGCGAATGCGAACGTGAACAGGAATGATGAGAGCTGTAAGCAATTTTGGAAAGCCGGTGACTATGTCGGCGAGTCTGGTGGTGATTGGGATACATCTTCAGGTATGTATGTATGCATATGTATGTGTGCAAGTTTGAAGTATAATGTTTTTGAATTAATTGTTGCTTTATTTGGAATTTTATGTTTTTTCATTTTGTTGAGCTTTGAAGTTTGGTGCTTCTTTTCCTCCTTTGGGAAGGGTTTCTCTCACTTAATTGGGGTGAACAATGGTGTCCCTGAAGTAGGGATGGCGATGGGGTTAATGGGGGTGGATATTAATTTTCCATCTTTATTCTCCTATGATAAATTTTTCCCATTCTTCTTGCTATTACCCTTCCCATCTCCTAATGGGTTTGGATTTTTCTCAAGGAAAATGTCTCGTAGTTCAAATTTTGTGGCTCAAAAGTGGCTCAAATGGCCAAAACGACGTCGTTTTGGCCATTTTTATGTTGTTCTGTACTCAAAATGACGTCGTTTTGGCCATTTGAGCCACTTTTGAGCCACAAAATTTGAGTTACGTAGCATTGTCGTTTTCTCAACCCAACTTGAAATTTTTTTTTTTCTCCCAAAGTTCACAATCAAAACTAAATATACATTTAATCTTGTTTTATTTTATTTAGTTCAACGATAAAATCAAATACAGATTAATTAATTAATTAAAAAAATTATTTTAAAATAATCAAATATATAATTTTGAGACAATCAAATAAATTTGAGCCGTCCAACAAGAAAAATGCAAAAAAAAATTAACTCTGATTCACATCCATCTCATAAAAAAAGATTAAAAAAAAAAATGTTTTCCATTAAAAAATATTTTTTCCCAAATAAACAGAGCGTTATTAACTGGACCTAGTTCAATTATTTAGCTCATCGACGCCAAGTTCCCATTTTCAAGAAACAAACACTGTAGAAGACCCGGTAATTAATTTTTCTTTCTTTTCTCTGTTTTCCCAGTAACCAAACAAACAATACAAAACAAATAAACACTAAAGCACGAAATTGAACCCAAAAAAAAAAGAAAAAAAGAGCCAAATTGGTGAAATGTAACAAATAGAACTCTTTGATTAAAAAACATACCTTTTTACGTAACCATAAAGCATCGTTTTATCGGACTGACTTCACTGAATGTTTCTTCAAGCTGAAACATCAAAGGACCAAAACCAATCTCCCAATTCATACATAATACCAAAATGCATATACATACAAAATACATATGTATATATTTTTAGAAAGAGAGAGAGAGAGAGAGAGAGAGAGGGTGCCTGAGAGTTGGTGAAAGAGTAGGGGAAGTTGGAGATGAAGACAGTGTTAGGACTGTGTTTGGTTTCGCCATCTTGCTTCAAGGGGAAAATTGGGATTGAATCAGAGACAGATTGCCTAGTTGTAAACAGAGTAGTGAACGGGGAAATGGGTGGGTATCCGTCCCCAACCCATCCCAAGTGGAGGTTTAAAGAACCCCACTTATCCAACCCGACGGGTAAAAAAAAAGGGAAAACCAATGTATTTGGATCGGATCTCCATGGATACCCATAGGGTAGGTTATCCATTGTCATCCCTACCTTGAAGTTCATGGTTAGTTATTTTGTGGCGTTAGATTAATTGTGGTTTTTAAGGAGTTAAGTGTGTAATTAATTTTGGACAAATGTCGTGGAGGGCAATCCTCAAGTATAACTTCAATTAAAGAGAATAGTGTGTAATTAATGCTACATCTTAGCTAATTACATAATCCATAATTGAAATTTTGGATGCCTAAAAAGATAGTATAACCAGAACATATTTTTTTTAGCCCATTTTAGTCTTCATTGGGCATGCCACTATAAGTTTTGGAAATTGTGAAGATTGGGGGTTGTGCTTAGCCACTATAAGTTTTATACTTTTATTATTTTGTTTGAAGGGGACATGGAAGGGACACGTCAAATGGAGTGTCCTTTCTATTTAATTTAATTTTTATTTTTTTCAAGGAACACAGTTGGGACATGCAGGGGACACACATGTTCAAATTTGGATAATCTATTAATTTATTTAAATGTAGTGGTTTATATATATATATATATGTTGAATTAATGTTAGTTTTTATTAATTTTGATTATTTGATAATATAATATTAATCTACATAGAAAATATATATAATAAAAATAATAATAATTTGTTGTGTCCTTGTCGTGTCCATGTCGCCATTTTTTTGAAATCACCGTGTCCCGTGTCCGTGTCCGTATTTGTATCCTTATCTGTGTCCGTACTTCATAGGTTTTGGGAATAGTGATAAATTTAGAATCTACGTTACACGGACTCGTTAGTTTTGGCGAAGTACCCGTGTTGACACGACAAGTACCTGTGTCGATACGACACGACACGGGTACGGGTACGGGATATGGCATGGAAGAAGTGGATACGGCATACAAAAGTAAGAAGAAAGATGGCATACCTGCAATTAGGGCTACGAAAACTGCGATTACGGCTTCGATCCTGCCATTAGGGCTTCAATCTTCTCTCGATCGGCCTTCTTCTCTTCTCTCACTCTCACTCTCACTCTCATTATCACTCTCGATCGTTCTCTTCGTTTCTCTTCTCTCTGTTTCGATTGACTTCGTCTCACCCCTCTCTGTTTTCTTCTCATTATAATATATCGTAAATAATATAATGAGAGCAACTCTTTTTGTCTTCCAAGAAAAGGTGCACTAGCTCTTGAAAGTTGTTACCAACAAGTTAATAAACTTTCACCTTTTCACCTACCAATCAAAAGTCAAAACAGCTAGCATCCACCTACCAATTATATAATAATAAATCTAACTAAATCATATATAATAAAAAAATTAAAAATCTAATAAAATCTATAAAATACATTATCGATTTTTATTTATTTATTTTAACATAATTTGTTATTCCTTATTATATTTTTGTTATTTATAATATATATATCAATTAAAAGTAAAAAAATAAATTATATAGATAGATTAAAAATTTTATCAATAAGAATAATACATAAGACAAAAATAATAAATGTATTTAAAAAATATCTATTTAACTCATTTTTATATAATAAATATATTTAAAAAATTAAATATTTACTGTATCCCTATTTGGATCCATATCCACATATCCTTAATTTTTAGTTTTGAACTGTCCAACCCTTAGATAAGCACTTGCACCCAATACCCACACCTGAGCCCGTGTAACCAACGTAGTTTAGAATAGCTTTGGAAAAATTCTAAACAAATGAGCTTTCAGGATGATGTGTCATGGTATATGCTTTTTACAGATGATATTGTGTTAGTGGATGAGACTAGAGGAGTCAACACTAAGTTGGAGATTTGGAGAAAAACACTTGAATCTAAAGGATTTAAGATAAACAGAACTAAGACAGAGTATATGGAGTGTAATTTTAATATCAGTCACAATAGAAGCAGAGGAGAAGTGAAAATTGAGAACTAAAAACTACTTAAAAGTGAATATTTTTGTTATTTAGGATTGATTATCAGAACGATTGGGGAGATTGGAGCGAATGTGGTCCATAGAATTAAGGCGGGTTGGCTTAAATGGAGGAGTGCGTCTGAAGTACTGTGTGATAAACGAGTACCCATTAGACTAAAATGAAAGTTATATAGAATGACTATTAGACCAACGATGTTGGACATGACAGAATGTTGGACAACTAAGAAACAATATCCTCATTTCCTTTTCTTATTTATCAATAAAGCTTTTGTTGTTGATCAAAAAAAAAAAAAAAAGAAACAACATGTAGATGTGTTGTTAAGATGAAGATGCTAAGGTTGATGTGTGGCAAGACTAGAAAAGACAGAGTTAAGAATGAGTGTATTTGAGAATGGATAAGATTAGTACCGATAGAAGATAAATTGAGAGAGAATAGATTGAGATGGTTTGATCATATATAATAGAGACCAACAGAGACAGTAGTGAAGAGATGCAATACAATGCCGGTAGATGGTAGTGTTAGGGGAAGGGTTAGACCTAAATTGACGTGGATTTGTGTGGTAAATAGAGATACGAATTTCCTTAATTTGACTAACGAAATGACCTTAGATAGAGTCGAGTGGAGAAGAAGGATTTATGCAGCCGACCCCATTTGATGGGACTTAAGGCTTGGTTTGGTTTAACAAAAGATAAATCAACTTATGAATAAGAGGGTAACTAGTTTAATAAGAGGATAACTACTTTCAAGAAAAAATATCCACAATAAGTTTAATATTGTCATGTCAAATGTAAACAATAAGATATTTTTATCTTATTTTTTGTTATGCATCTAGTTTGTTACACTTATTTATCTATTGCCAATTAAAACTGTAGAAAGCCATTTATCAAAAAAATAAATAAAAATAAAAATTGTAGAAATCCTGATTTTGGGGTATAGAGAGAGGAGATTTTCATGATCTACAACATCATAAATGTTCCCACTCAATTGTTTAATTACCTGTTTAAAGTGACTGATCTTCTCTGTCATAAGAATTTGTGTTGCAAGCATATTTGCCTTAAAAAAAAAAAGATTAATCGACAGTTATAAAGAAGGCATATTTAGTGCCCTAAGTCACTTTTATTTATTCCACTAAAGGGTCAAGACTAGGTTGAAAATCCAGGATTCGAAACAGTTTGTGACAATATTCCTGTTTTTCAGATGATGAACAAACAAGAATGGATACAAAACAAGAGGCATAAGCAAATTAAACTACGATGTATTGAAAAAAAAAAAATTGATATATGAACAGAAAACAAAAATGATAACAAATAAGAGAAAAAAAAAACAAGAATAAAAGCAATTCTAAACAATATATATAACAAAAGCAAACACAAGGAACTAATTTTTGATAAACTAAAAAACTATTTAAAAATTCTTTTATGTAATTAATTTGAATTTTTTAGCCAAAACCCCCTTGTTGGGCCCTTTTTTACTAAAAAGGACAGCCTCAGTTTTTTTAATTTGAAACCCCCTCAAGAAATGTGTTTCCTTCGTGAAGAACGAAAAAATTTGTCTTCATTTTTGCATGGAAGACCCTACCCTTTGATATATATGGTATAGATTTACATTAAATCTTTTAGCGGTATTGGC